TTTTTATTCAATCAATACCTATCATTAAATGAAACTAATGTTACTATTTTTCTGCTAATAATGTAGTAATAACTCTGTAAAAATATGGGTGCGACGATATCTTGGTTTCTGTACGAGATAGAAGATTTTTTTCTATATCATACAAACCAATATATCGTCCCACCCACGTGGTAATGGCCCACCTGTATTTTTAACGAGTTATTTCTACTAGCAGTAAAATGTACCAGGATTACTGAGGTAGAATCACAGTAATTTTACGAAGTAACTTAAGAAAACGGTATTTATCCCAGTTTTTAACTATTAATTTTGTCGTACATATCCTGAATATTTTAAGAAACAATTTTAAATTACAGCAATTTTTATAAGAAAGGAAGAGACTTTTTAAGTGTAATTTGCAGCAAAAATACGGTAGCTCTACAGCCCCACAGTATACTTTCATACAAGTTTACAGTAATTATTTCTGGGTTTTTACCATTATCATAACTTACATTATACTAAAAACGCCGCTGTAAAATTACAAACACAGATGTTCAGACATTTACAGGTAATCCGTAATTTTTTAGAACGGGTTTAAATTTACTAGGTTAGTTGCTGGCAATATATGACCTACAATTATTGCTGTAAAATTACAAAATTGGGATTTACAGTGTATGGCAGTCCTCAGAAATCATAGGATTTTTGCAATACATGTACATTTTTTAGTTGAGTGGACACCCCCTCGATTTCACCTTTTTGGAAACGAAATGTTAATCTCTGGTTCATATAAGCAGGTATTACTAGTGCACTAGTGGTATCATGATACCACTAAATACCACTATGTTCTAGCCAGTATCGAGAGCAACGTACTTGAGCAAATCTTTGAATTTGTGACACTTCCACCCACTGAATCTAAAGAGAGGAAGGTTAAAATGCTACTTAATCAGTTACAATTGGGCAATAAAAGACCTTCAACACTCCTACGAGAAATGAGGCCACTTTCGAATGGAAAACTCACCGATGACTTTCTAAAAACAATATTTTTGGAACACATGCGAGAACAATCCTGTCAGTGGTGTTCAAAGATTAAAATTATTAAAATATCAATTTAATGAAAGAAAAAATAGTGATGACATTTCAATCATACCAAGAGTACATCGAGTAAACTCATCGTTTGCAGATCAAGCTGCATATTATAGAAAATGAGATAATAGCTTCTAAAGGATTTTTGGATTTGGAAAATAGTGAGTTTTATCTTTGTGCTGTAATTCATAGAGAAAAGTATACTCCACTAGCTTACAAGGAAACAAAACATAATAGTTTCTCTATATCTATAACGATATTAGACAATTCGTCGACACTAAAAACATGTAGTAATTACCATGTTTAAACATGGTTAGACCGCCAAATCAGAAACAATTTCTTTTGTGGGTCTTTGTTATTAATTAATTAATTATTATAATATAATGGAAGTATTTTTTATAAAATTTGTAGTAGACAATATGTATGGAACAACTATAAATACGTAATGGAACTGTGGACGCCATAGCTTCTTTCTCTTACTATTATATTGATTAACTTTATTATATTAACGGACTATTTGCAGATAATAAAGTCCACTTAGAAGATATAATGAAAGCACTAAAAAAAGTGCCAATTAGGGCTAAAGTCAAGGCAGAACAAATTCCAACTAATTGAGAACGAAAAAAGCCAAAACATTTCCTGTCAGAGTAAGCCGATTACGATAAAAAAGTTGATTTAAACAAACCATCTGAAATCAATGTGATCGAAAGAGATAATCAGGATCATCAAAAGAAGATAATGCCTAAAAATCTCCAACAAAAGAGGAACTAAAAGCTATGCTGAAAATTGAAAAGGCTTAAAACATTCATATTATGGAACAATTGGAAAAGATAAGGTAATAAAATGAGATACTAACTTCTAAAGGATTTTGGGATTTGGAAAATAGTGAGTTTTATCTTTGTGCTGTAATTCATAGAGAAAAGTATACTCCACTAGCTTACAAGGAAAGAAAACATAATAGTTTCTCTATTTCTATAACGATTTTAGACAATTCGTCGACACTAAAAACATGTAGTTATTACCATGTTTAAACATGGTCAGACCGGCAAATCAGAAACAATTTCTTTTGTGGGTCTGTGCTATTAATTATTTAATTATTATAATAATAATAATAATAATAATATATTATAATATATTGGAAGTATTTTTTATTAAATTTGTAGTATACAATATGTATAGAACAACTATGAATACGTAATGGAACTGTGGAAGCCATACTACTACTATTATATTAATTAACTTTTATTATATTTACGGACTATTTGCAGTTAATAAAGTCCACTTAGAAGATATAATGAAAGGACTAAAAAAAGTGCCAATTAGGGCTAAAGTCAAGGCAGAACAAATTCCAACTAAAAGAGAACGAAAAAAGCCAAAACATTTCCTGTCAGGATAGTCGAGTTGCCTCCAGTGCAGACCTCGTTACCTACTGGGCCTAGTCCGGTTAACTAACACCAATATTCTTCAAATATAAATCTTTGTTGATACCAATATTCAATACTGTGATATGAAAAGTGCCTATTTATTTTAAACAATTAATATTTCTAACTTTAATAAAACGGATATTAAGAGTGATATTAAAAAAGTAAAAGATAAAATGACAGCTGGTAATGATAATATTCCTAGTTTTCTTGTGAAAGACTGTGGTTGTGCGTTTTTGACCCCCTTATTAATTATATTTAATACAATTTCAAGTTTTGGAGTCTTTCTAAATTCATGGAAACCCCTGTTTTAAAAAAGGGTGACAATTATCTGATTAAAAAGCGATATACTGCGATATATTAGACTTGGTAAAAAGAAGAGTGGGAAACACAGACCCCTTAAAGTGATATTCCACAATCCCAATAAAGTACACTGCAAGGTATAACAAACTTTTTTTTTCACTCAACCCTACTGTGCACACTACATAACAACACAGTTTATACTTTTTACACTATCTACATAACAACAATGTCAACAATATGCATGGGTCAATCTTAAATTTAGACGCAACTTTTAAAGTTATAAAAGTCCTTGTTTAAGCAAATTTAAGATAAAACAAAGTAAAATACAGCATTTCAAATCCGGACATGCAACTTCACGCTTTCTGCGTCACCATTTTCGAGGCCACAAAACTTACCCTTAAAAATAAGTGCAAAAAAGTACAAAAATCAACAATTTATTACATTAGGAGGAAGAAAATAAAGAAGTTCGTTAAAATAATCAGGGTGGAAAAGGCTTTGTATGCATGGTTCTTAAAAGAAAAAGTTTTATTGCCTGCATCGTTTGCAATAAATGGTTACAAGAAAAATGTGCTAGATTGAGCAGTAAGTCAAGTTACGTTTTACGCGAACCAACTTGAAGATTCCAATGGAGATAGATGAACATGTGCTTTATGTGAAACTAAAAATGAAGAACAAAGTGATTCAGATCAGGTCGGGTCAAGATATTCTTACGATGATGTTATGAATAACCATCGTAAGCTTTGACAGTTGTTTCAACTTTTAAAATTGTAGTTACAAGTGAGTTAATAATTCTTTCTTGTTGTTCGATCTTCTCAAGTATATCTTTACAAGAAGCATTACTTTTCTCCATTTTCAGAAGTTTATTCGAATAAACTTCTGGAAATGGAGAAGATCGAACAACAAGAAAGAATTATTAACTCACTTGTAACTACAATTTCAAAAGTTAAAACAACTTTCAAAGCTGAAAGGGATGTTTTATATGTATCAAACTTAGTTAAGGGTATAAGAGAGAGAAAAGAGCTAAAAACATAATAATTTATGGAATTAAAGAAAGTTCTGAAACATCATCCCAAGATTGGTAATGAAGTAACCAGTGACCCTCAAGTATTTAAGACTTGGTAAAAAGGAGAGTGGGAAACACAGATCCCTTGAAGTGATATTAAACAATCCCAATAAAGTACTACACTGCATCTTCAAAAACAAGAACAAACTCAAGAACTCACATCCCAATATTAAAGTAGGCTCAGATCAAACAATAGTGCAGAGACAAGAATTCACACTTAATAAGGTGTCGGGTGTTGATGCTATGGGGGTTAGGATATGTATTGATTTAGGTTGTATATTTGTATTTACTATTTATGTACCTCCAGGAGCGCGTTCGAAAACTCGAAAGAGTGCACTCTGGATGCACTCCAAGTTTACTTTGCGCGTTTGATTTCTCTGGTATATACCTAGATATATACAAGTGTCAACTGTTCGAAAACAGCAAGTATATGCCCAGAGTGCACTCTCGGTTGTCAAGGATTTAGACTTGGTTACCCGTCATGCGCATAGAGTACAGTAAACAATAATTTCAATTTACCTACATATAGGTTATGTATTTTGTTTGGTTAATGTTTATGTAGATTTATTATGAGTAAATTAGCAGCTGTAACTATTCTCTAGTTACAGATAACAGGGGCAATGTGGTTGTATCAAATAATAGAATCATGATATGTCATAACCAAAGTAAGTTTTACCTTAAGTAGATATATGTATATAATAATATTATTACTGTATTAATGTATTAATCTAGCTTTATCCTATAATAAGTTTTGTTATGTAATATTGTTGTTGGCTTTTAGTATTTTTTTTATTGTAGCCAAAGAAGGCAAATTACTACAGAGATGGCCGGGCAAATTTTTAAAATAAATTTTGTGGACCCAAATCTTAATTATAAGATTGAAGCAAGTTCCATTGAGACTGCAGGGCCATGGGGATCTATATAAAAAAACAATTTGTCTTCTTGAAGTATATAAAGAACGGCTGTTACAGATAACGTCAACAACGATACGGAATGAGGCTGCCTTCAAACATATCTCAGAAGACATGGGGATATTTGGATTTGAATTTAGTGGTAACATTGAAATTTTTTATTTAGAGTAATTTTTTTTTTTTTAAGGAACACAATGTAGAGAAAAATTTAAATACCTAAAAATAAAGTACTTAAAAAACAATATGAAGCAAACGGGCGCATCACCAATTAAATTTGAATATTTTGATGAGATGGATGGCATTTTTGGTGATAAACCAAATGTCCAACCAGTGGCCCTGGCTTGTATTATGACGCCGATTGTGGAAAATCGTAAGATAATATTAATCACAAGTTTAAAAATCATATCAGTAAATTAGTTAATATTCATCATTTCCTAATATACCTAAAAATAATTATATTATTATAATTTAAGATGACGATGGATCCCAACATAACATGTTGGAAAAAAATAAAGAAAATACACCTGTAAACAATAAAGAAAAGGAAACAAATTGGGAAGCCCAAGAGAGAATGCACAAGGAAAAAATGGCACGGCAAGACAGAATGTTGGACTTGTTCGAAACATATAGAAAAATTTAACTAAACCAATATGTAGTTTTTTAGGCTGTTTGGTTTTATGCTAATTTTTAAACTTTTTTATTAATATTTTGTTTGTTTTTGACTGATGTTTTTTAAGGCCATTCCAAAGTGACGGAGAAGACAAGTGGACACTTTTAGTTTCATATAAAGTATTTTTCATCAAAATTAATATCATTAAAACCATGGCAATAAAAATGATTTGTACACAGTCCTCTCTGTGGCCATTGTTTTTATATTATAATGTTGCAAAAATATTGTTTTTAAATTTGTTTTTAATAAAAATACTTTATACATGAAAGTAAAAAGTCACAAATAGCACCATTGCAAGTGCCGACTTGTCCTCTCCGTGTCTTTGGATAGTTTTTGACTGAATACATATGAATAATTAATTCTTTTATGTTAATCAAGAAAAATAAGAAGAAGACTAACCTAACTTTTATCTCAATTTAATTGTAATATTTTGTGCGAAATACAACTGTTTTTCCGTGGTAAAATAAGTACAAATAGTATTTAAGAGGCCTACTAGGCAGATTAAATAAAATCGCAAGGAAAAAAATCGTACAAAACGATGGGGTTATCAAAAACTAACATTGAAAAGGTAAAAAAGAAAAAGGAGTTGTTCGAGATGCACAATGAACTCTTCTAACCATAAGACATCAAGTACTTCGGATAACTTAAGCTCTGAAGATGATGTAGAAAATAAAAAAAAATCAAAACCACAAAATAAAGAAACTACCAAGTATAGAGAATCGGGACAAAGCCCTAATGAAATATTTTGACATGAAATTTGCAGAACTCATAAAGTCAGTAAGTTTAAATGGTAATATAATAGAAGAAATAAAAAAAGATGCACAAAAGGTAAACAAAGACGTAAAAAAGCTGAAAAATGATCACGAAAGTATAAAGAATATAGTAGCTGAGCTGGAAAGGGATGTACGCTTGCTGAAGCAGAATACAAAAAAATTTAAGTGAAAGCAAAGATAACAATCCGAAAACAAATGAAGAGGCAAAAAATAAAGCAAAAAAGGTGTTCAATTTTCTTGATTATACTGCTAGAATATTGCCTAGTTAAAATCCTGTAATGAAACCTGTCCTAATTACCTTTCATAACCAAGAAAATAAAAAATCAAAATAGAAAAAAGAAAGGAAAAGTTGAATCGACATATATAAAAGAGGATATGCCAAGAGATTCTAGAATTTTATTCAATAAAGCACGTGCATTGAAGGATAACGGCTATAAGTTAATGAAGAGCAATTTTGTAATTTACCAAACTTCAAGTCAATGTTTTCAAGTAGAACTAAGAAGGGTGGTGGTGCCTTAATATTTGTAAAGAATACTATAGATTTTACTGTGATAAAGACTATTAAAAACCTTGAATTATCTTATGCCCTAATTAAAAACAAATTTAATGAGAAGTCTTCACCCTGGTTTGATACAGCAGTGTTAAATGCAATTAAGCTAAGAGAATGAAATTGAAACAAACAAAAACTCCAATACAAGCAAAGCACAAGTGATTTTAAATGAGAACGACATTGAATCTCAGTACAAAAACAACCTTGTAAATCAGGCTGATAAGCGAATTTGCAATAATTTTGAAACCAACCAGCCAACAACATAGTAATAATTAATGGTAAAGGGAAAGAAATCAGTTCGCTGGAAGAAGAATACAAGTCACAAATTCAAGAGTTAAATGAAAAAATTGACAAATTAAATGATACAGTATTAACTCTACGATGTCAAAACAAGGAAATTACTAGTTTAAACCATCTTCTACAAACAAAAATCTTAGATAAATGGGACCTATGTGTTTATATTTTAATTAAATTGGTTCTGTTTTTAATGTGGTTCTTTTAAATTTTAGTTTTAACAGACAAAGTAGATAATAAACCCACTGATACACAAAATACAATTATGAAGGATGCCGAGGTTGGGGCTCGTACAGGCGAAATGGTAATTAAATAATATAAATTGGTATTTATTTCATATTTAGTATTCATAAAAATAAATTCTAGACTTATTTGGGAAAAAATATATGGTTACCTAATGTTGTTTATGACAGCATTTTTGCTCAGAGAAAATCAAATTCGGTATTTATTCGAGATTTAGCGGATTATGTTTTTGGTCCCAAATGTTTGTCAGAATCTTCTGTCGAATAAAACTGCTGAACCTGCACGTCCTGTTTTAAATGGGACCAAACTTATGGTTATAAAAGGTATTGATTAAATTTTTAAACATGAATTGAAAAATGTTTAATAGCTACTAATTTGTTTTTAGACATGTTTGCTTATAAATTAAAATTGAGTGGTTTCACCCAAAAAGAAATTGTAAACTCAATCATTTCACAAATTTACCGATTTGAAACGACTCCCCAGAGGCATTAAAAAGAAAACAATAACTAATGGTAAGAATAAATATATTTATTTTTAAAGATTTTTAAAGCTAGAAGTACTTTTTAGTACTTACAGTGGAAGAAAATAAAAATAAAAAAGGTGAACACTATGCAATAAAAAGGAATCTTTTGTTTTATCTTTGAAAGTTTTGTTATTTTCAGTAGATTTTATTTAATAAAAGTGTTTATATGAGTATGAGTGTATAACTTAAATATAACCTTAAAAACCTTTGAGTAAAAGAAATAAAAATAAAACTAGAAGGTAGGTATTTAATAATAATAGTTAATAACAATTTCAACCTAACATAAATAATATATATGAATAATATAATTGGGTATAGCATTTGATTACAATACAATCTTTATTGTAATTTTAACATTTTAAGGTGTTAGGAATCCTGCAGATGTTACTGAATTTTAACTGTATTTGGAAACAGACATATGTAAGTAAAGTTCTTTTCCTTTATTTCCACACACTTTCCTCTTATGTCTCCAAATGGCATTAGCATGTTTTGCCCTAAAGTTGATTCTTTTTTAAAAATATGTTCCATTTTTACTTTATTGTACTTTAAATTATTTGCATTTCGGATTTTTACTAATAGTTATTGCCGTAAAGAACAATAAATTTTAAAATGTTTGCAAACCCATGTTTAGTAAAAACTACTGTGTCATTTGTTTTTTTTTTTTTGTTTTATATATTCAACAATGTGAAATATTGTTCCCTCATAAATGCATCGCATGTATGAAAAACAGTTTTTTGAATTTAAATTTGTTTAAGTTGTCTGTTTCTTCTATTAATGATTTTAAATCATTTACAATAGGTCCATTTCCTAGGAATCTTACTTCATTTGTGTTAAAAGTGTACATATTTATTTCCGTTCAAACAAATTTACACAAAATAATTTTGCATCTGCATTTAACATTTTGTCATTATTCAATTGAGTGTTTAATGTGTTACCACGCAATATTTTTTTGGTTATTTGTTTAGAAACACCGACAGGGCCTGTAACCTGTTCTATTGTGTAAATTCCCGACTCATAGGGAAATGCACTTGTTGTTCATAAAGACCCGGTTTTCGACTAAATGCAATAAACTATGAACATTAAAAGTCATTGAAATTTTTTAAGATCTTTCACAAAGTTAAGTAGGTCTCTTTCTGTTTGTAATAAATCATTGTCTGTAATTGATGTTTTAAGCAAAGTGTAAATGCTTTTTATTAAAAAAAATTTCTTTTAAATATTTTTCAGACATGGAAGTGAGTAAAATAGCAACTACGATCGCCATTCTAAAGCTTTCCACTTTGATATTTTATTAAGACTACGTGGTAGTCGGTGAATTTCTTGGTGAGGTTTAATGGACAAAATTCGACTATTTATTAAACTGACATTACTTGGACTTCCAATATAAAATGAAAATCGAGTCTCAGTTTTATAGGTTGTCCACAATTCCATTAACTGTCTTATCACCCCTAAAAGTTACTATTTTATATTACTTTTACTATCCACAATTTTGAAAATTATTTTATTACTAGGACCTTACCCAGAAGGACTCCATGCATAAACTATATCAAATTCCGGCAAGAGAAGTAAGCTTGACGGACCTTTAACCCTTAACCCGAGACCACGGGTTGTTAAAAAGTGCGCGGTCTCTGTTACCGATAGTCTCGAATAACGCGATTTTAATTAGCAAATGTGTATAGTTATTTGATACTATTATTTGTTTGATATTCGACTTGGTAAGTTGCATATTGTTTTATTTATGTGAAAGATGTAAAATAATATTGTATTTGTAGAATATGGCGTCAAACTCCAAACGTGTTAGTTATTTGGACAAAAATTATGAAACAACTGTTCAAAAATGGTTTGATCAGTTATCTGATGATGAACAGCAAGAAATTTCTGAAGTGGAAGACTCTGGCGATGAATATTTACCGGAAAGTCCTGTTTTGGAAGAAGAAAAGGAGAGTTCAAATTCTGAGCAAGAGTGGTCTGGGGATGAAGGGACGAGTTCTAAAGAAAAAGAAAAAGAAGAAAATGAGCAATGTTCTAGAGATCAAGGCAACAGTGATATCAAAGAAGAAGTGATGTATAAGGGGAAAAATGGCTATTCATGGAGCTCTAAAGAACCTAATAGGGCAGTAAAAACTCCTCGTCATAACATAATAATAAAGTTGCCTAATCTCAAACAACAAGCCAAAAGTTTAGGAAATAAACCAAATGTAGAAGAAATTTGGGAACTGTTATTCGACAATCTTATATTTAGTAAAATTATAGTTCACACAAATGAGAAATTGGAAAAAGTCAGGGCCACACATAAAAATACTTCCGTAGATTACAGGGATACTAATCTTGTAGAAATTCGTGCGTTTCTAGGATTACTTATGTTTACATCCATATTTCGCTCAAATCATGAAAACATGTTATCACTGTTTTCTACTAAAGCTACAGGTCGCCCAATTTTTAGGGCAGTCATGTCCTCCAAAAGATTTGAAGTTTTACTTAGTTGTCTTAGGTTTGATAATGCCAACACTAGGGAACAACGCAGGAAAGAAGATCCAACTGCAGCCATATCTTTCATATTCAATACTTTGGTTGAAAACTCCCAGAATTGCTTTAACTTGGGACCAACTGTATGCATTGACGAAATGCTGATCAGCTTTCGAGGGCGCTGTAGTTTCAAAATGTATATGCCGAATAAGCCAGCAAAGTATGGCATAAAGCTTATGTGTCTCACTGATGCCAAAAACTCATACTTTTACAATGGATATATTTACTGTGGGAGAAATAGCGATGGACAAACTTTGAGCGAAAATGAAAAAAGTCTTCAAAAACCTACCCAATCTGTAATACGCCTAGTAAAGCCATTGGAGAAAACAAATAGAAACATAACAGCCGATAATTGGTTTACCTCAATCGAACTGCTACATGAGCTACAAAAAAGGGGACTTACCTACACAGGCACTCTAAAAAAAAATAAACGAGAAATCCCTCCTCAATTTTTACCTTCGCCCAAACGCACTATCGGATCGTGTATGTATGGTTTTTCAAATAATGGTTTCACAATAATTTCTTATGCTCCAAAGAAAAACAAAGCGGTTTTGTTAGTTTCATCATCGCATCACAGCGAAGCCACGGATCCTGATAACTCTTTACCCGAGATTATATCTTTTTATAATTCTACAAAAGGTGGAGTAGATACACTTGACATGAAATGTGCTAACTACTCCTCAAGTCGACGATGCCGTAGGTGGCCCCTGGCTATATTTTATAGAATCGTTGACATATCAGTAAATAACGCATATATTTTATATTTGCATTATAAAGATACAAAACCTATATCGCGAAGATTATTTATTGAAGAACTTGCTATGAAACTTGTAACAACTCATATGCAAAGTAGACTGGAAAACCCAAAATTGAGCAAAGATCTTCGTACTCTTGTACAAAAATCTTTGGGAAAAACTGACGACAACCAACCATCAACATCAACAGATGAGCGTTTAGAGGTAAAAAAAACTTGTTCTGTGTGTCCATATCAAAGGAAAAGAAAGACATTTTATCAATGTTATAGTTGCCATAAACCAATTTGTTTAGAACATGCTAGTAAAGTTTGCAAACAATGTATTGCTGATGAAAAATATGTTTAGGATATAGTATTGTAACTATATTTTCATATATATTTGTTAATTTTTTAATAATTTCTATTTTTGTAATAAAAATGACAAATAAATTAAGACAAATAGCTTTAATTTTAATAGCGGTATCTCATACCGCTAGTCGCAGATAGCGTAAAATTTTATAACCTCTCGGGTTGAGGGTTAACTCCTCTTAATTTATTTAAATAATTATTTTCTGCTGTTTATTGCAAGTCTAGCATGTGCGTTTTATGAGTTCTTGCATGAATTTGTCCATCCATTATGGGGTACTTTATTTGTTTATTTACTGGTGCTCCTGGAGCACCAACTGCAGTCAAAATACCCATTGAATTGAAGCAGGTTTTGTAAAACTGGGCGCGCCACAGAATCCACGGAATAAAACAGCGGTAATAATTTAAAGGTGCGTAAAGTGATTTCATAATTTACTGTGACACCTTTTTTCCGAATGTTTTGATTTCAGCTGCAAACGATTTTATGAAGGTGTACATCATGTGGTTGTTGGGTTCTTCTTTAGCAATCCATATACCAGCATAAATTAAATGCTTAAACCTTTCTTTTGGTGGTAATTCGTTAATCACATGTTGTATTGCCACATTGATAATTTTGACGAATTAAATATAGGTGCACCATCTGTGTTAAAATTAAAAGTTAAATCAAAATTTTTTGCTGTCAAGTTTTTATAAATTTCGCCATCATAAACATCTTTAATTATGTTATCGGTTTTGTTTTTCGGATTGTGCAATTTTGCAACAATATTTTCATCACAAGTTTTTGATTTGAGAAGATGTGTCAGTAATTATGAAAATATTTTCACTTGTCATTGTCAGATTATGTAATGTTCCACAGTTGTTGCAATTGATAGACGAATTTTTAAAATCGTGTTGTTTCTTTTAGTACAAATTTGCAGCTTTGACAAAAAAATGTACCTAATAAAAGCTTCATGCGGATTTTCGAATAATTTTGCAATGGTATAATGGGTATACAGTAGGGTGGGCCGAAATTTTTTTTTCAGTGTAGTATTTATGCTACAAAATATGGGCTTTCTGAGATGATATCTTCAGGTGCCTACTTGAGGTTAGAATTGTGAAAATTATGAAAAAAATCATAAAATCCAAATGAGTTATTTGTATGGCCTTTCATCTCTATATATCTGTGCGGATCGAAAATAGGATCTAATAAGCTCAAAACTTCATCAAAAAGTATTTAACTGAGCTCAGCGATCCAAATCCACAAGCAACGTCGAGCAGCTATCTCCAATATTTCGTAAACCCCGGCAACCGCGCCACCGCCCGCCGCGCCGCAAGTCTGCCATTCCTGTTCCGACAAGATCGGACAAGATTAGTTGTCTTCACGCAGTCGACGCGTTAAGATCGTATTGACTTCTGCTTAATATTTTTAGTGAGGTTTAATTGTTCGTTTGTGTAAAAAAATGCCGAATACACGTAAAAACATTGAATGTGAGGTGTTTGGAGCACCAACAGAACTTAAGTACAATATTCTTTCGACTTACGGTGATGTAATGGGAGCGTATTTGTGGTACAGACAAATAGTTAAAGACGATAATAATGGCAAAGACCCGAGTGTAAGTGAAGTCTCTAAAAAAGTTATATCTGCATTGAAAAACATTTGGGAAAATGCTTCTTTACAAATGGTGAGTGAGCAAGAGATTTCTCGACTGATAAAGGACTATGTCGGAAAGTTTCGGAATTTGAAAAAAAAACCTTGGATCCGTACATAATAAAAAGTGTTTAGAGAAGTTGAAAAAATTTAAAGAATCAAGTGAAAAACTTTTTGATACATCGACGTGCAAGTGTAAAGATTTTGACTCCTGCAAATGCAAGATTAAAGTGCTTAAAATTGAACAAGAATTTTTAAAAGACCAAAGAACAGAAAGAAGAATGTTTATTGGAAACGTTGACGTTAAATTGACAAAGGTTTTAGAAAAACGTATGTAAAGAAAGATCAAATCGATAAAGCAGCTAGGGGACCAAAGCGATCCAGAGAAATCGGACCTTGTAGGAAAAGTTACTGTTCTAGATGCAACTTCCTCGCAGGTAGAAGAAAATTTGTCTCTGTCTGAAAGTTCGTCAACAAGCGAGATTCGAGGAGTGAATTTCAGAAATTTGGCAGAGGCTTGCGATCGAACTGGAGTTTTCGATAGATGTGCTTCCTTTTTGGCGAATGCCGTCTTGCAAGATCTCGGCTCGGCGTTGTCAGTAGGAACGACCCTTCAAAACTTTTAAACCGTAGTAAATTGAGGAGAGAACGTAAGAGACGAAGATCTGAGATAAAAAAGGAATCAACGAGAAATTTGGAAATTACAGGGCTCTACTTTGATGGTAGAAAGGATAGAACACTACCCCCAAATTTGTCAAAGCGTGATCCGGGAAAAATGGCACATGCAAGATGGCTGACAACGGCAAATAGGATCTTGAGACTTTATGTAGCTTCTGAACAGCCTTCAAACGAATTGAAAACAATAACGGAATTTATATTGAAAGTTTATGCTCCTGTTTGGTTTGATATTAAAGTGAGATCATCTGAAGGCTCCAGGCATTTATTCTCTCTGATAAGAAGATCGAGATATCTACCGGCTGCAGTTAAAGATGTGATTGATTCTGTCATACAGAGGAATGCATTTTTTGCTCATCCAGGAAATATTTTATTGTCAATGCTTACAGATGACCGAAAGCCTATGAGAGAACTTGCGCTTAGAAGAATTCTGAAATGCAGGGTAAATGATCTTCAAAATAGAAACATTAGACAATTTAAAGTCCCCAAACTGAATTTTGATGCTTAAGACTACACGGATTTGATAAACTGGCAGTCAGTTACCGTAACTGAACCAACACTTACAAGAAAAGTACCAGATGATGTCTTGCAAGAAATGATTGTGAGAGTTCCTGACAACATTGAAATTTCAAAATACCCTTGTCATACTCAAGCTGTTGAGAGATGCATCAGAACAGTCACTGAAGCCTCTGGTTTAGTAAGCGGAACAGAATCCAGAGATGGCTTGATTCGAACTAGGATTGCCTCCAGAAAAAAAATTCTGAAAATTGAGACAAAACAGCAATTCCTAAAGGCTTTAGATCAATAAATTCGCAATTTTCTTGAAAATATGAAGGTAGGGAGGGAGGTACGGGCAACTCGCCATGCAGCCACCTCCACGTGGTGAGTTCTGGGTTATTTCATTCATGAAAACTGTGTTTTTCATGAGTAAAATAAGCGAAGAGTTGCATATTTCAGTATCAAGCTTCGTGAGAAATTCAAGGGGAACTAGGCACCTAAAGACGGCATTTGTCAGAGCCGAAATTTTGCATGAATGATCAACAACAATAGTGACAACTTTTTAATACCCAGGCTAATTGAGATCCCGCACTTTATTTTTTTCCCGTATAGATCGGCCCACCCTAGTATACAGTCATATTTAAAATTTGCACACAGTTTTAATAAATTAAAACATATGTTCGTGCTTCGTTTGATATGCCATGTCGTAATGCTAAAGCGTGCATCTTATATCTTTTTTCGTACATTTTGCATGTTTAAACATTATTTCGTCTAAATAATTTTTATTAAAATCGTTATTTTTTAACTCTTCGTCTTCGTTTTCTAAATACACAAACTCTTCATTACAAGTTTGTATTTCTTCTTCATCACACTCTTCTAGATTACTCTCCTTATCAAACTCCCTTTCTTCAACACATTTATTTTGGTTTTCTTTACTCACTTCCTCTCTGTTGTCATTTGTATTTTCTAGTGCTTTGTGCATCAGTTGATGTCACTCAAATTTTAATTCAAACTATTTAAGTTAAATTTTGAATTTTAATAAAATGTAAACAGCTGTTGGAATGGACACGCCTTTAAAAACCTATATGCAAATCGGTATGCAATAGATGGAAGCAACATCGAATGGCATTAAAATACATACATGTATATGAAACTTCTGGTTATTTCTATTGGAGCCAATCGGAATCAATATGGCACATTGCATGGAACTGCAGTAATTGTCATTAGGAAACGTATATGTAATTCCCTACTGAGTTTCCAATATGGTCCTAAATTGAATGCCTGACACATAGCATGGAACTCCAGTAATTGTCATTAGGGAACATATATGTAATTCCCTGCTGCGTTTCCAATATGGTCCTAAATGGAATGTCTGTTTCAGAAATCATAAAGGATCATATTGGAACCAGCAGTGATTTTTCATATGATTTTATATGGCATTTACAACAGTGATATGAATTTTTGTAGTTCAGTATGAACGATCTTGGCGTGATATTTGATCCAGAATTAAAATTTGCAAACCATATTGACCATATTGTACAAGCTGCTTTAAAAATGTGTGGGTTTATAATTAGACTGTAAAACAGTTTGAGAACACATACTGTCTTAAAACTCTTTTTAACGCTTTTGTTGGATCTAAACTGGAGTATGCTTGGTCTCCTTAATATAAAAACACTCAATAGCAATTGAGCGAGTACAGAGAATTTTCGCAAAATATTTATATAAAACATTTGGTATTTACCCAGATCAAGGTTTTGATAATGTCATAATTGATCTCCTTAGAAATGCAGAGTTGTGCTTTATTTTTCACTGTGATTTTATGTAGCACTCTTAACAATAAGACTAATTGTTTGTAAATTTTGTGAAATTTAAATTTTTTCGTCTTAAGACTCTCTGAGAGAGATTCATGTACTAACTGTACTAACATATTATATGCTTTTCCAAATTTTAGAATGTGTCGTTTTTATAATAAATTATATACGTTTGTTTATCACACAGCCAGCAAAACTTGCTTTAAAAAATGTGTTATCGATTGCATCAGAAACAATTCTGTGCAGCGTCGTAGCTAGGACAGGGCAACCGGGGCCCACGCAATATTGCATACTGACAAATTGCACTGCTTATTGCCAGAATTGCTTTGAACCCATTTTTCGAGGCGCTCTATGCCTTGCCTTTGAGCAAGCGATGCTTTACCAACGTACGTTAATTAGATTTTAAAATCACGCCACGCCACTGGACCCATAAGTGGCGCGGCGTTTAGTACGCAAATAAATATTATGAGTTTATGAGGTTATGTCGGCAAAGTCGAGTATTTTATGTTAACTTTAAAACTGTTAGATATTAACGCAAGTAAGTACATTATACTGCTTTATAATAAAAAAGTTAATAAAAAACCATCTTTAATTCGAAATTAGAATTCCACCAAAAAAGCCGTCAGGGTCAAAATTTAAAAAGTTAAGAGAAGAGCGAAAAAAACAAAGAACAAAAATTTTCAAAGAGATTATGCAGCTGGATATCCAACTCGAGTAATTTAACTGATGTAAATGAATGTTCTGGATCTGTGCCCGGCAAGCACTGCCTGCCCCTATACAACTAGGTTTAAGCGATATTGATTTTATCCAAGATTTACAAAGAGGGTAAAGAAAAAAATAGAGGTGACTTATCGGCCTCAGCTTCTATAATAAATTATAACGATCCAAAGTCATGGCCAAATATAAACGATAAGTTTAGGTGTTGCCTTGTTGAAAATGGCCCGAGTCAAGGAAAATATTGTGATTTTAGATAATCAGTAAAGGACGACGGACGTATTTTTACTACCGAATGGTTAAAAAAAACTCTGCCAAATAATGAAAAAGTAGACCGAACAGGGTTGATTTACAGTGAAAACAATAAAGCATTATTTTGTTTCCCATGTTTACTGTTTACGAAAAAAACATCAATTTTTTCAAGTGCACAATATGGTTTCTGTGATTGGAAACATTTAAACCCAAGAGTTGGTAAACACGAGAATTTTATAGAACACAGAAAATGTTTTGTCATGAAAAAGATTGGAAATTCGTTTAAAGAAAGGAGTAGCGATAAACGATGGCATGTAACTTACAATTTTAACAGAAAAAGAAAGGTGGAGATTCATTCTGAAGGTTATTTTAGAAGTCATACTATTTTGTGCAAAGAACAACTTAGTTCTTAGGGATAAAATGGAAAAGATTGGTCATAGGAAATCGGGAATTTTTCTAAATACACTGGAATTATTAGTAAAATGTGGATGTCACCCATACGGAGCAGATGGCTCAAATAATACGATACGTGCTAATTGAAGACGCTAAATGTTCAGTTGAAGGTTTCCTTGATTTCATTCAAACTAATAAAAAAACTGGAAGTGGCCTTGCAGATGAAATTACGAAAAAAATAAATAATGACGGTTTTTCAGATTGCCGAGGTCAAGCATATGATAATGGTGCCAACATGGCTGGCATATATCGTAGAGTACAAGCACTAATTTTGCAACAGAACGAGTATGCACAATTTTTACCATGTTCAGCCCATTCTTTAAATTTAGTTGGGGTACATGCAGCTCTTGTAAATTTAGAAATGGTAACATTCTTCGGCACGTTGCAACATATATTTACTTACTTTTCGGGATCAACACAACGATGGGAAGCTTTGTCAAATTTGAAGTTGACTCTAAATGGTCATTCTGATACCAGATGGTCATCGAAGTATCAGTCAGTTTACTCCTTGTTTTCTCAATTACCCAAAGTCGTTAAAGTTCTACATACGATTTCTGAAGGAACAGAAGAAAAAAACCTATTCCAAAGACACTGTGTCTTCGGCCCAAACTTTGATAAAACTTATAGATTTTCAATTTATTTGGACCAAATTCTTAATAATATCGACGAAGTAAACAACATTTTACAATATAAAACGAAAGGGCAGCTAAACATGGTCTCCAGAAGTATTTAAAGAATTTTGGAAAAATTGAGATTGACAAAGCTACAGACACTGCAAAGGATCTTTGTCAGCAGATTAATATTACACCAGAATTTCCAGAAAAAAGAAAGCGGAAAAAATATTCGATAAGAAGGCCGACGATGAAGCTCAGTCTTTGACAGAATAAGATAAATTTAAAATCCAGCTGCATAATGTATTGGATACGTTAATTTCGCAGATGGAGTGGAGATTTAAGACTTTGTCACAGGTAGCTTCAGATTTTTGTTTTTTAAGGACCTTTTCTTTTGGAAAAACCTATTGAATTTCTGAAAAAGGGAGCAGCTGATTTGCGTTAAAATATGATAAAAGATGATTTGGATGCAAATGAGTTAAGTTTGGAAATTGAAAGTTTTAAATATGAAGCTTGTTCTTTAATATCCAACATTAAAGGGGCTAACTTAATATCTTTGTTAAATTGTATTCAAGAATATGGATTTTCGACAAATTATCCCAACATTGAAATATGTCTTTGCTTAGCACTAACTCTGCCAGTTTGCGAGAGAAATTAAATAAATATATAAATTAAATTTTAAATAGCAATAATTCTTCAGTATAGTTTAAATTTTCTAACCGTTCGAAACTAATTAAATTTTATTTAAAAATGAATAACGATATTCTTCGAAGGGCTGTGGGCCGAAGAAGACATCTTAACGAAGTTGAAATGGCAAGAGCAATTACTCTTTTACAAGAAGGGCGTTCCCAAAGATATGTGGCAAGAATACTTAATACAGCCCCCTCAACCATCCATCGTGCTTGGAACCGTTACCAAGAAGTTGGTATGCTTGCCAGGAGACCCTATAGACAGCGTCAAAGAGCCACAACTGTCAGGGAAGATCCCAGTATTTAAAAATGAATAACGATATTCTTCGAAGGGCTGTGGGCCGAAGAAGACATCTTAACGAAGTTGAAATGGCAAGAGCAATTACTCTTTTACAAGAAGGGCGTTCCCAAAGATATGTGGCAAGAATACTTAATACAGCCCCCTCAACCATCCATCGTGCTTGGAACCGTTACCAAGAAGTTGGTATGCTTGCCAGGAGACCCTATAGACAGCGTCAAAGAGCCACAACTGTCAGGGAAGATCACCGTATCGTGCGTTTGGCCGTTCAAAGGAGGACCAGAACTGCTGCTCATCTCAGAAATGCCCATTTTGAAGCAACTGGTAGACGCATATCTACCCAGACAGTACGAAATAGGCTTCATGAAGCAAATTAACATTCCTGAAGTGCTGCTGTTGGGCCCTATTTGACTCCACGACATCGCAGAGCCAGAAGAATTTTCGCACAAGAACACGTGAATGGGACTAGGGAGCAATGGGGTAACGTACTCTTTACTGATGAGACTAGAATTTGTCTAAATTGGCATGATGGGCGTCAACGAGTATATAGACGTCAAAGAGTACCATTTCTGGACTCCGCGGTTAGAGAAGTTCGAGCTTTTGGAGGTGGATCGATAATGGTTTGGGGTGGTATAAGTTTGAATAGCTGTACTGCCTTGCACACTATTCATAACGCAACTTTAAATGCTAGGGGATACATTGATGACATTTTACGACCTATTGTGCTACCATTTGCAAATCAAGTAGGTCAACATTGAATACTACAGCAAGACAATGCTAGGCCACATGTGGCGCGAACAGTTTTAAGTTTTTTTGAAGAACAAAATTTAACTGTTATGGAGTGGCCAGCCAATAGTGCCGATTTAAACCCAATTGAACATCTTTGGAGCATTATTAAAAATCGTTTGCATAACCACCAAAGCCCCAATACCCTTCAAGAGCTGGCAATAATGGTTCAAGAAGAATGGGAGAGCATTCCTCAAAAATTAATAGACCAGCTAATAGAGTCGATGCCCAGAAGATGTTCTGAGGTTCTAAGAGCTAGAGGAGGACATACCCATTATTAAACATATTTTTTTTGCTTAATTTTGTAAAAATAAAAAAATTCAAAATCTGTTTATTTTTTATTCTTCTCTAAAATTAATTGTATTATTTTTTTATATATCGTGTATAAATTTATTTTGAAGGTATATATATTCTATATTGTCACCAAATTTTAAGTAAGTATCTAGTTTTATTAAAAAGTTATGCTGATTTAATTAAGTGCTCCCTATTTCGTTGTGAGTAGTTTATATTAAACTTCATTAGGGGGGCGCAAAACTATAGTGCTTGCCCTGGGCGCCATAGTCCTTAGCTACGATACTAATTTTGTGATATTTAACAGAATTTTTAGTGTAGGTTTACTTCATATTATAAATTTATTTATATTACCCTGTAATTGGTCCTGTACTGTTTATTAGAAAGCCAGGTGTATAATGATGACGAAAATGCTGCATTTTGGAAAAAAATTCCCAACAACCACTTGAGTTCATGAAAAGGAAATACCAGGTCTTGATAAAAAAATTTAAGGATAGAATTACATTCAAAATTAAATTAGATTTTTGAGTGACCAGAAGGCCTGCACTACTGCGCCCTTAAAGGGCTATTGTAGTTCCCGCCACTTTAAAATCACTGTATCCAGATTACTTGAAGCCAGTAGCTTTTGAAGCTTGGAGAGTGGTTCTGATGTAGTGCCTAGGTATTGGCTTCTGACTTCTCAACTTGTTCTGGAAAATCACTTTACTCCAGATGTTTTAAAAACATAGATCTTTACGTCAAATATAGAGCCAGCAAGAACAGGTGGATGATCCACACATTTTTTAAAGTCTAATTCAAAAACTGTTTTATTAAAAATGTCAAAAAAAATTCTTTAAAAAAATCTTTAAAAGCACTTCTTCCAGTAGATAAACGGAGACCCAGCAAAAGGTGTATTTAATTTTGATCCAAAAGTTAGGCTTATGCTCCCCACTGAACATCCATAACACGGCCAATCGACCATACTTCTTAACAATTTATACACATATTGTTTTTATCATAAATATTTACTGCTACAGATTTTTTACAAGGACTTTTAAAAACGTCAGTATATATTTACATTTAGACGCAACTTTTAAAGTTTTGCAAGTCCTTGTTTAAGAAAATTTAAGAAAAAACAGGTACCGTACAGATTTTATAATCTGGACAAGCAAACTTCACGATGTCTGCTTGACCCCACCATTTTCAGTTAGTGCAGTTTTTAGTTAAAATACCTCGCCCACAAAACTTACTTTTACAGAGAAGTTCAAAAAATGACAAAAATCAACAATATTAATGTAATATATAAAAAGAGATAAATAAAAAAGTTTTTCTTTAAAGTGATCAGTGTGGAAAAGGATATGCTATATGCTAAATATACATAGTTCTTGCAAGAGAAAAATCATTTTGTACATTACGTTTTAATAATTATAATAATATTTATTGATCCAAAAGACAATTATTATTGTATAGGACAAGTCAGATTATAATTATATATAATATATAGGTAAATAAAAAACAGTTCATGTATACACAGATAAATTAGCTAAAAAGTATGTTTACACACAAACAAACAACAATATAAAAAATTGTAACTAAAATAATTATTTTGAAATTTCTTTAAGGTCATAAAAGCATTTTTTATTAACATTTCTTTTAAAAGAAATTTAAATGAATTAAAGGTTTTAGCATCTTTTATGTATTGTGGGATATTAATATACAATTTTATGCCAGAAAAGAATGATGATTTTTCAGATAATTTTAAATTATGTTTTGGAATACTGAGCATATTAGCATTTCCGGTGCTGTAACTATTGTAGCTGCCATTTGTTTGGAAAGATGCCATATTTTTTCTGACATATATTGTTAAATGTAAATGCTGGGCAAGGTGAGAATTCGCTTACTAACAAAATAGCTCCTGCATGACTCAGTGGGTCAAGCCAAATATTAACCTGACAGCTCGCTTCTGCAGAACAAACAAGCGATTAACATTTGTTGCTCTTCTACTTATTTTCCAACGAACATATTCGATATGATAATCTCAAGTCAGTTGAGAATCTACCATTGTACCGAGAAACTTGACGTTTTTTGAAATTTTAAGATTAAGTACGTTTGAAATATCTATGATATTTTTAGCTGAAAAATAAATATATTCCGTTTTGCCCATGTTAACCATAAGGCGGTTTTTAGCGCACCAATGCCTAAAACTTACTTAAACTTGGTCAGCTAGTAACCCAAGTTTTGCCACGTCAGTATTGATGTGTCATCAGCATACATAGTTATATTTCCTCGTACAAACAGTGGAAGTTCATTGACATAGAGTGAAAACAATAGTGGACCCAGTACCGATCCTTGGGGAACTCCAATATCACTGGCATATAAGCAGACTTAGCCTCCTCTATTTTTCCAAAAATCTGCCTGTCAGCTAGATATGATTTTAACCATGTTAAAGGGGTCCCCCTAAAGCCCAGCCTGTACAGTTTATCCAACAGGAATGCAGTATCTATGGTATCAAAAGCACGGCTGAGGTCAAAGAACACCCCAAGAACATGGTCCCCCCTATCCAACCGATCATAGACATGTTGCAGAAACTGTGGTCGAAATCCATGTTGTGTATCAGTTAATACTTTATACCTATCAAGAAATAACATCATTTTACTGGTAAAGATTTTCTCAAATATCTTTGATATAGAACTAAGTATTGAAAGTTTGAAAGGATATGTAATAAATTAAAGTGTTATTTGAAGTGGTTAAGACATGTCACCCACTCGACTAAAGTTTTATTATTTTAAATTTTATTTATAAGTTTATTAATTTCTTTAATTATTACTTTTATAGCAATTGTACGGATCTCAATGTTTGGATGCAATGGTTTGAGGAGTTTAAATCAAACAGTAAAGAGAATGATGATAGTGAAGATGAACAAATTGATAATGTTCAACAAAGTGATCACGATTCTGTGTCTGCGCAAGAAATAAGTGACGATAAAAGATTACAAAGTGGTGTAAAAGAGGAAAATTCTGAAATAAGCGATTTTTTGGGGGAATTTTTTAGCAAAAATGTATAAGGTAAGGTATTTTGTTTATAAGAGAAATTAGGATTATAATAATTTTATTATGCATTATTTAGGTATTTTATTTTGTATAAATAGTTAGTACAACTTATTATTATTAATCATTGTGATTATATTTATTTCCGTGTTTTTATCATGCCTTCTGTTCTGTGTTTAGTTTTTGGTGCTCATGTGGATGAAGTTGAAGTAATGCATTACTTTCCTAGAAATCCAAGTTATGGCAGGAAAGCCTAGGGATGCTTAGTTCCAATATTTCATTGAGAAAATACCGTATATGCTGTAGGCATTTTGACAAAGAAATTACAAAAGCAATACAAATGAATTAAAAAGAGATGCCATTCCAAAAAAGAGAAATTGGTAAGTAATATTTTTTATATTTTTATTAGAATATTTTTCTTTTAACATAATTTTATCTTAAATTGGTCTATAATTTAAATGTTGTTATTTTGATGATGATTTTATTAAAAGTTGACTTATACATTGTATTTAATAAGTTTCAAAACAACAGTTTTTTGTCTACAGAATGTACACAAATATATAAATTATATACAAAATCTGTTTAAAAATTCTCTTCACCTTTTTTGTAATTTATAAACGGATAAAAAAAAGTAATCTTTTTTTTAGAAATTCCCACACCAGATGTTTCATTAGAGTCTCCAGTGTTGGAGACTGTTGTTAAAGATCTCCAGAGCCCCAGAACACCCATTACATCTTTCAATGGAGAAATTGGTAATTATTTATTAGAATATTTTTTCTCTAAATATAATTTTGTTGCACATGATATTGTTCATGTATAACGATTCTGAAAAATCTAATGGTAAATTTTAATTTTTAGAAATTCGCACGACTCAATATAGTCCCCAATGGTTGTTGAAGATCTTCAGAGTACCAGAACACCCATTACATTTAAATCTATTTTCCGAGGTCTTAAAGTAAAAACACCTATAAGTCCAAGGACATCTATTAATGAGAAAATTAAAGAGCAAAGAATCTCACATAAGAAAGTTAAAAAGGATAGCAAAGGCAAGAGCACACTGTATTAGGTCACTCAGTGACCTTAGTGACTCAAACGTTGTGAAAAACCTTTTTGATGGGATGCCTCTTGCAACCACAAACTTTTTAATTTCCCAGTTAAGGTGTGCAAAGCGAGATCCAAAAGGGAGAAGGTGGACAATTGAGGACAAAATTACTGCCCTTGCTCTGTACAAGAGAAGCCCAAGATGCTATAATTTACTTAAAAAATTGGTAGCCATGCCTTCTAGAAAAACAATATTGGATTTTCTCATATAAAAGAAGCAATGAAAAACGATTATGAAAAAGTATCTGCTCTCTTATTTGATGAAATGGACACAAAGGAACACCTTGAGTATGACCAATGTGGGGACAGTATACGAGGATTTGAAGAGCTTGGAGGTGGATCAAGTAAAAAATTGGCTAATAAAGCTCTAGTTTTTATGCTACAGGGCTTATCAAAGAACTGGAAACAGCCAATAGCTTATTATTATTCCAATAATGGCGTATCGGCCGAACAATTACGTCGCCTCATTGTCGAGGTATTGACTAGTGCCCAGGATATGGCCAATTTAAATATTGTTGCCACTATTTGTGACATGGGCTCCACAAATGTAAAATGTCTAAAGGATATGGGATCCTCAATTGAGCGACCTTACATAGAAGTAAATGGAAAAAAGATTTTTACTATGTTTGACCCACCTCATTTACTTAAATGTACTGCTTCCTTGTTTCGGAAGCATAACATTTCTATCCCAGTTGAGGGTTTTGGAAACTTGGAAGCTCAATTTGGGGATATTATAAGGCCCACGAAATCGACTCCAAATCACCTTAAAAACTTATGTCTATGCATAAAATAAAATCACACCACTTGGACCCTAAAATGAAATATACCATAAAGGTGAATTTGGCAGCACAAGTGGTGAGTAGAACTGTTGCTGCTTATATCTATACACTTCTAAGTAGGGGTGAATTAGAACAGCGATCAATAGCCACCGTAACATTTGTGCAGCAGGTTGACGAGCTGTTTGACATCTTTAATGGATCTCAGAAGAAGCCAGCTGAAGGAAAAGAAGGTAGAAAGTAGTCTAGGCATATGAAATTCTGGGCTGAAGCTTTTGAAAATGTTAAAAATTGGAAATACCAAAGAACTAACAAGGTAGGAGGGGGTGTTAAGTCCAGCAAGCCTCTATCACAAATTGGTTGGTTAACAACTCTAAGTTACCATTTATGAACTAGGTGTTCTTCAATGCTTCATCATCAGAAGATGACGATGATGATAGTTAAAATACCTTTTACAGATATAACTAATGTTGTAGAAGGTAAAGTAAAATTGAATGTTGGTGAGATATATGACAGTGATGATGATGAGCTACCAACTTGCTCATTTAATACCATTAGGTAGATTTGGAGCTATCTTTCGACAAAAGAAGATTTTAAAACCCTAGGACCCAGATCCCTTAACCAAGACAGTTTGGAAAATTTATTTGGGTCTATTCGAGCTGGATGCGGTAGCAATGATAACCTCACTGTTTTCTTCAATTTATCCAGTTTTCTAAACAGCGCTGATAATATAGAGCCAATCGCAACTGATACTGCCAAAGAAATAATATATACGCCTAAACAAATAACCACTGACATTGTTAATGCTGTACAGATGGGTTCAATAGAAATTATGTCGGTGGCTTATGTTGGGGGCTTTATTTCAAAAAAAAAGAATGGATCATATTAATTATAATCACTGTGAGGCCATTCTCTTAGGTTATTCTCATGCTGCACAAAATATTTTTATTTCTTTTAAAGAATGGTCTGACCAACGCTCCAGATTAACGTATCCTTCTGAGGCATTGGTGGTATCAGTTGCAAAGGGTTAACTATTCTTGAAGATTTTTTGGAAAAATATTGTTGCCAGAATAGCATCAGCGTTGCGTTAGAAAACATATTTCTAAATCAAATTGATTTTAAATGGATAACCTGCGACTTGCACCAGGATATTTTAAAAAATTCTCTGGCTAAATCTATCTGGAAAATTCCATGGTGGTGCAAAAGAAAAACACAGGAAAGAAGGGCACAAAAAAAGTTTACTCATTCTAAAAAGGTTAACATATGCATTCACTAATTTTATTTTAATATTTATTTAAATTTTATTATTTATTTTATTCTCTTTATATTTATTTTTTTATGTTAATGTTTATTATTTATTTTTATGTTATTTTTAATTACTTATTTTACGTATTTTGTATATACCTATGTAGAATATATTTATTTTTAATTATTTATTTTTCATAATAATTTATATGTATTAGACTGGGCCAAAAAAAACAACTATTTTTTTTTTTGAAAAGTATATCGAAAATATGGTTTGGGGTGACAAAAAAAAATTATTGTGAAAGTTTGAGTCCATATTATTAATATTAAGAAGTCTATCATCGCAATTTTAATTTTTTTTTCCTCAGCAAGTTTTTGTCTCAGAACTCCCAAACCATTGAGTTTAACAAAATTGGCTCAAAAATATTTTTTTAAGAAAATTTAATGCTCTACAAAAAAGGTTAAAGTGAAATTTTCCGTCAGATGGACCGTTTCCTTAAAATCATGCTTTAAAAATTGGTATACTTTTACATTTTGATCTTTTAAATTGGAATTTTGTAATTGATGTAAAAATCAGTACCCATAAAAAACCGATAAATATTCTTATGGGAAATCAAATGCTTTACAAAAAAAGCCTCTCAACATTTTTGGCTGAATTCACTCAATCAAAAGTTATTCAGGGTTAAAATTTCGTTTTGAGTTCAAATTTAACCTTGAATAACTTTTGATTGAGTGAATTTAGCCAAAAATGATAAAAGACTTTTTTTGTAGAGCATTTGATTTTCCATAAGAATATTTATCGTTTTTTTTTCAGGGTACTGATTTTTACATTAATTACAAAATTCCAAAGTTAAAAGATCAAATTGTAAAACTAAACCAATTTTTAAGGCATGATTGTAAGAAAACGGTTCATCTGACGGGAAATTCCAATTTAACCTTTTTTGTAGAACATTCAATTTTCTTCAAAAAATATTCTTAAGTCAATTTTGTTAAACTCAATGTTTTGGGAGTTCTGAGACAAAAACTCGCTCAGGAAAAAAAAACCTAAAATTGCGATGATAGACCTCTTAATATTAATAATATTGACTCAAACTTTCACAATAATTTTTTTTTGTCACCCCAAACCATATTTTCGATATACTTTTCAAAAAAAAAAATAGTTGATTTTTTTGGCCCAGTCTAATATGTATGTATGTATGTATAAACAATTTTATATACCTATTATTTATTTTTGTTAATGTTTATTTATTTTTCATGGTATGTTCAATTGCTTAATTATTAATTTTTTAATGTATTTATGTATTTACTTTGTATATATGTAGAACACTGAAAAAAAAGATTTCTTACATTTAGAACACCAATCATCTTGAAAATATTTTTTTAATTCAAATCAACTTGCTTTAAAATAAGAATATATATTTCAATTAAAAATATTTAACTTCTTTAAAAAAGAATTTTGTATTTTTGGAAATATTCTAGTATTAAGAAACAGGTTCTTGTTTTAAAAAGTTGCATGTTTTAATTCAAATATTAAATATATTCTTGAAGGAAATCTAAGTTGGTTTCTTGGTACAATTGTTAATATTTTTATTTCAAGAATAAGATATTTTTATTTTTTTTTTATTTGTTTAATTTTTTTATATTAAGAAATAGATATTCTTAAATTTGTTTATGTATAAACAGTATTTTCTTTTGCCAAGAATACATATTCTTAAAACTGTGTAGAAGTGGGGATGCCGACATGTTCCTCTTAAATTTTATGCCTAATTATGCAGTGTTTCTTTGTTTTTGTGAGCGAAAGGGCGTATAATGATTTCATTAAAAAAATTATTAGAAGAGTGGTCAGTATCGGAGGAAATTACCTGTTTCAATCGATCTCTTATTAACATTATTAG